TTGGATGATTTGTAAACATTTCGAAGTTATATAACTGCTCAAGCATGTAAATATGCAGATGCCGGAGGTAGTTTCTGGGTGCATATTTATTTCTATTTGTACAATTCCGGATTGTGGATAGATTACTGTACATGTCGAGAACAACACAATACGCATGCAAGACAGATCCCCGTCTATATTTGTATATTTGGACCAGTTTATCTCGAGTACAAATTTGCTTAAAGTGCCATGGGCGATATTTTACCCCGTCAAAAGCCAAAGCGTGAATGCTTTCGTTTTCACCCGGATCTCTGCATTTGTCGTGCCTGAGATAGTAGATCTTCGATCAACTATTGTAGCAGACACTTTTTCAAACACAATACTGTCGACACAATGACTATTTGCCCCCTATTAATTGTCTGTATATCTCTTCCACAGTTCACAATGGTAAATGCTGAAGAGACGTCCCAGTTTACCATAGCGCAGTTGAAAGGTATAGGCCAGAATGTTGGTTGCTACATTTCGGCTGGTTCATTCTACTCTTACAGTGCCAGCGCCTCAGATCTAGATGAAACCGTAAGTACAAAATGATCGTTGAATTTTTTCATGTTGCGATTTTTTCTTTTCTGAAACCTTACCATTTATGTATGAGTGGTGTGGTTCAGCATGATCCATAGCATTTCTAGAGGTCTATTTATACTAACAGCAATACAGAGTGCGCTCGTTCTATTTGTACACCAGATTATGGGCTTGTATTGCGCAGCTGGTCACTGTAGCCAAGATTACGTGTGTTCTCTAGCGAAACCACGAGCTAAAATTTCCTCTGGAAAGCATGCACTTATTCTTGAATTTTTCTTGTGCAGGTCAAAGGAAATCCAGTGAACCCAGACTCCGATAGCTTGGAGCTTTGGTTCGATATAACGCTTTGGCAGGAAGAGATCAAACCATACATGAAAGCTATGATCGAGCAAGCGGCGGCAAACGGATGTGATGGTAAGTGCTTAGGAATGTGTTTACATCACGTCGTAATAGTCTAGCATGCGGTGAGAGGATTTGGATAAATTGGTCGAAATGCACATAACACTAACTGCTGCTGCATGACCACTAGCACTCAGTGACCTATATAACTCTATTGTGCATTGCTCGACTATATACTTCGGTACTCATCTTCCTATACTCTCTACCTATGCAATCCCCAGCTATTCTATTCGACAAGCTGAATTGCTATGCGAACAACTGCACCGTCATCGAACGCCCACAAAACGTACTAGAGTTGCACCAAATACAGTACAGTAAGTGGTTGGCACAGACCGCACACGATGTCGATGTGGCTGCGGGACTGGGAAGCAACGCAGATCAAGTCGCAGATCTCGTGAACTTTTTTGACTTTGCGCTGAGTCCCGATTGCATGGCAGTGGGTAACTGTGCCAATTACCGACCCTTTGTTCAGCAGGTACGTTGAATGAGAAACAATTCATACCTAACAGAGATGTACGTCGGTGATTCTGTATCGTGATGTACTTGAGGTGTGGGCTTTCTTTCAAATATGTTTATTTTCAATTCGACTTTAGTTTGTTACCTTCAGACGATTAGTTTTATTCACAGCCCCTATCACTCCTATCCCTATTGTAGAACAAAGCAGTTTTCGGTACAGAAGTAGGTGTAAAAACGCAAGACGACGCACTAGCGGTATGTAAATCCGCGCTTAATCTGGGCATGGCGTGGCTCTACACCACTCCCAATACCCAAGACAACTGGGTCGCATGCAATGAGATCCAGATGACCTGTATCAACAACGGTTGGGGGTGCCCAACACCACTCGTGCCATCCCTCTCGTACTCCCAGGGTGTGTGTCTGGACAATGTGTGTACAGACGAGGTATGCTGTGCGAATGCCCCCCAGTGCGCTCTGGCAGTTACTTGTCCCGCTATACGCGAACCGCTGTCGGATTTCGCAATTAGGACATGCAGTGGCGAGAGGTGCGAGCTGAGTGATTGTTGCCAAGCCCCGACATGCGTGGCTAGCAATGTCATCTGCGATAAAACCCGAAGTCCAGGCCCAAAGTTTAACTACGATCGGATCAAATGCCCCGGTGATTTCTGCACTGTGGAAGACTGTTGCGAAGGTAAGTTGCAGTACTGAGCATCGATATGGCTCTAGTGAACCCGATTTGCTTGTTGCATAATAACAGAGAGTTGAGACTGCTTAATCTACAATATCTAAACGCTACTCTCTTTTTAAACAGCCTCTCTCACGTGCGATGCTTTCGAATGTCCCCCGGAGACGTCGACCATAATTGATCAGCCAGAGCAGAAGCAGTGTGCTGACCAGGTGGGCGGCTGTACGACCACGGACTGCTGTAAACGTATGTCACAACTATATACAGGTCAATCCTATAATAGTCTTGTTCAAGCTCTTGTGGGTATTTTTCTTCCACCGGGCGCACTTCTATTTAGATTTAGAGACAATTGTAGTAGATGTAATGGAAAATGTTTTTTTTCATCGACCACATTGTCTGGATATGGCACCAGTGCACTTCCTTATGTCACTTTGAATCAATACCATTTCCATCTTCAGCTCTACCAAAGTGCTGGGAGCAGATCAATGACTGCGGTGAGCAAATTCCGGCGGCTGACTATGCCACTAAGACATGTGCCACTGAAGTATGCGATCCCGCCGAGTGTTGTGCGAGTGTGTTCTTCATGTACGAGGATGGGCCCGAACCCGGAGCCTTCTACCAATCCCCTTCGCCACGTGGAACGCCTATGCCATCTCCTTCACCCGAAGTAGTGTGGGAAGTACCTGATGTGACGGAAGTAAAAGGTTTGTGGTCATCCTGGGGTGCGTGCAGTGCCGAGTGCAACGGTGGGGTGCAGTACAGGGTCTGTTCGCAAAGAATCTCAGGTGCGTGCGGAGATGGTTTGGCGTGGAAGAACTGCAACGAGTTTGAATGTAGTCAGGTGATCGCCCAACCGACCCCAAGTGCCAACAGCAATACCAACAACAATAACACGAGTAACTCAGATACCCCTGCGTTCACGCTCCCAACGGCACCGCTTGTGCCGGGTAGTGTCGAACAACCAGTTGATGGGGCCTGGTCAGATTGGTCGCCTTGTAGTCAGTCTTGTGGATCCGGTATGTTTGTATTCTTGAGTTTCTTTGTGCCCCCTAAACTGTGCATTCTACATAATGTAAATGTTTAGCCAAATTTTTTTTAATGATGCTTTTGTAATACTAGCACCTACTTCATGTCGACCACGCTTCATCAAAGACCTCAATGATTTCTGTGAAGTTGACTAATTCGTACGAACATAACACGCACACATACAGGAATTCGCCAACGTGCATGCAATAATCCATCTGCATTGAACGGAGGTGCGTACTGTACAGGCATTTCGATTGAATCCTGCAACATCTTCACGTGCGGTAGCGGTGGGTTCGAAGCCATCCTCCCGAACGCAGGAAACACCGACACAGACGGCTCAACCGTGGTGAACCCCACACTCAAACCACTCGACAACGCCTGTACCAATCAGTTGCTGAACAACTGCGATGCTAATGCCATCTGTGAGACGGTGAATGGCACGTCTTTCAAGTGCACTTGCAGACCGGGCTTTACGGGCACTGGTGAGCTGTGCTCTGATACCACTGCCCCCATCATGCGTTGCCCCGAGCGACTGTACGAAAGTGCACCGCTAGGTCAGCCTGGGTATGTATCCCTGTGTGTATCATTGTATGCAGTTGCTACCTTATCTTCCGAAATTCGCTTCATGCTTTGCACTTTTAAAATAATGCATTATTATATTCTATATATGTCTGTGTTTTTTATTATGTCTGTGTTTGGAACAGATATTCACTTGGTTTAAACATGAACTCGCACCAAATATTACCCACCGCTCTACAGCACAATGATCCCCTTCACTCAACTAATCACCGCCGTGGACAACGGGAATCTTGCCGGCGAAGTGGAGTGCAACATGGACAGTGGCGCCTTCTTCGGTATCGGCCTGACAGACGTCACGTGTCAAGTGTCTGACCTCTCAGGAAACATCGCGACATGCACATTCCCGATAGTCGTTGTCAAACCCGATGCGGCGCTGGCGACTGCCATTGTCTCAGTTGGCACCACAGTCACACCGGCACCGTCTCCTGTATCTAGCAATCCAACAGCTGTGAATTCGCCTGTCGCCTCGCTAGTTCCTGTAGTACCGACTACGATAGAGCTACCCCCTGGCCGAACCTCGGCCCCCGTTCCGGTATCACCCGCGGCCACAATTCCGGTACTCTCTCCCTCATCCATACCGGCTTCGCCATCACAAGTACCCGTACCTGTATCACCCTCTCCTGCAGCAGCTTCTAGTTCGCCATGTGTACCAACCACAGTTCCTTGTCCTGCTGGTAATTCTGGGGTGTACACAGTACCGTGTACGTCCGCTGGGGTCCAGGGTGAGCTCGAAGGCGAGTGTGTGGCGTGTGAAGAAGGCAACTACTGTGTAAACGGCGTGCAAACCCAATGTCCTTCAGACGCTTACGCTGCGAAGATGGGCCAGCAAGCATGCCTTCCCATCCCTGATGGCTACTTCTGTTTGGACACGGGCGTGTCTGTGGCAGGTCTGGATGAGCGTGCACTATCCATTACATCAGGCAATCAACCATCACCAACCGGGTGTACGGCAATCACGCAGTGCCCGGCAGGGTTTGCGTGTCAACAGGGTAAGGTGGCCACGTGTGGTTCGGCTAGATCGCTGTACCAGGACGCACAGGGGCAGGCAACGTGCAAAGTATTCAACCCCGCGGAACTGGTGTGCGAGGACTCGACGGCTGAGCAATGCACCAAAGTTGTGTCGAAGTTCACACTCGCGGCGGGTGAGATGATGTACCCCAACCAACGCGTGCTACAGTCCAACTGTGGACACACCTTCAAGATAGGTGAGGATGGCAATTTGGTGGCTTACTATCAGGACACTCCTTACTGGGACGCTGGTACCAATGACATGGGCCAGAGCCCGTACCTGCACATGAAGGTTGACGGCAATCTTGAAGAGTGGGTGTCCACGCGCAACGAGCCCCTGTGGCAGACGAATACGGCTGATCCTCGGGGGACAAAGCCATTTTCGTTCATGCTGCTGGACAGCGGTAACCTCGTGGTTGTAGATGGCATTGGAATCATCAAGTGGCAGACCAATGTCTTAAAGGGCCCGTGCATCCCCGATTATTAGATTTAATCTTTGATCAGATGTGTTCGCGATTAGACCTTCCATGCGCTGGGCGTGTGGATTAGTGATGGTGGTTGTGAGATGCGATTGCGGTAAAGATGGTGTGGTACATCTGCCGCTGTATATCGCAACATAGAATGGGTATTTAGCGTGTGCGATGTGTGTCCAAGCTTCGCTCAGATGATGTAGGAAAGAAGATCGAGATCTGAAAAGATGAAAATTGGGAAGAAAAGTATTTAGTACAGTAGAACACCACTGAGAGAACACTGGTGTGCGGTCTTAGTAGACTGGAAGCTTTATACATGCAGGATTGAATCCTGGTGCATAGTGTAAAGTAGGAAAACATGCTGGATTGGATCCATGTATGTAGTTTGAAAATAAGAAGACGATATAGGGAATTACATTCCTGTATGTAGTGTGCAAATATGAAACATGCGGGATTGAATCTTAGTATGTAGTTTGAAAAAAAGAATAAAATAAACCAAAAAACATCGAGCTCGTTCCATGATCTTCATGAGCACCTGCTGCGCATAAGGGCAGCAGTCGCATGCATGATTGCTCGAAAAAAAAATGATAAACTTCTCATTGGCGCCCTAAACTGGTGAGACGTGAGAAATTTTGACAGTTTTGTACGATTTTTCCACGATCGACGAAACACTACACACATTTGCCACGAGCTGCCAATATGTGGGAGTCATTCGCTATGAATTAGGAAACGACAGCCGCGCACAGCATAGTACCGATTATTTGCAGAACAAAGTTGTCGCCATGGGCAACCCATACAATCGACTGTTGAGTGCTTGTGTGAGAGATCATCAATATATATATATATATATATATAAAGAATTTTTTCATATCACACCCAGTTTATCGATTGTTGAGTGCTTAATGTAAAAACATGTACTAGTTTTCTTCTTAAAAGTCATGTTTTCAAAACATCGAGCGCTTGCGTGTAACATGTATAAGCTTTCTTCTTAAAATTTATCGAGATGACAGACCCAGACCGGAACAAATTTTACATATCAATTTTAACACAACCAGTATTGCACATATCATGTATGTTGTCTACTAGACTTTTATTCCCCAACACTCGACGCTTTTGAGAGAGGAAACTCTTTCCATCTAAATTTCAATTATGGTTCCAGTTTGAATACTTGGCGCTTCTGTTCCTCGATAGAATACTATTCCCACGTAAATTCTCAATTTATAGTTCCTGTTTTGAATACACCAGCCTTGACTAATTGCCGTAAAGCAATACTGTTCTTTCCGCCGGAGTGAAGACTTATCTGTTCGGCAGCCTTCTCCAGATCAGGCTCAAAATAGAATCCTGAATAAACCAGTTATAGCGCGGAAGCGTTACAATGATATTGAGAATAAGAAGCGATATCATATCATTGCGGAATTGTAAGTCAGTGATCACATCTCTTTTCGGAAAACCGGAGGTAACCGATTGCACATTCCCTTCTGGGGTACATAGCCGGGAGTGTTACATTACTATTGAGAACAAAAGGCAATATGAAGCAACGTAGTCGACCTTCATATCACAACGAAGCTGTAAGTCAGTGATCCTATCTCTCGTTCGGAAAACTTCAGGTAACCTATTACACATTCCCTTCTGGGTTACATAACCTTGTCAGATTCTCAGATACAGGAAATTTTGTTAGAAATACACTACGTGCTCTCCAAAAAAAACCAACAACAAACAAGTGCTTTAACAGAAAATCTAAAGAAAAAAGGTGTAGTATACCAAAGACACGCAGATTCCACCTGCATACATAAAGTAAATCGATACGATCGGATATTTCCATTAAAAACTTACCGGTGTGTTCCTTCGACAGCTTAATTCTGAATGAATCTTCGCCTGCCTCTGTGAGAGGTTTGCTTAGAGGTCCCGTTGGTGGCTTTACTGTATCCTCGTCGTTGATCACGATCACGACATAATATCTATCCTTCATAGCTAATAACGATCCATCACTGAATGAACAGAAGCGAAAACTTCTGATAAATATAACTTTGCTCAAGCAGTACAGTCTTACGTGTAATTCAAAGCACATTGACTGAGGTCATGTTCACGGGCTGATTTGGTGTGAGCAACGTTTTAACCAACAGCATGTAGGTAACGATAGTGAAACTCCGGCTGATAAGCCATTACCAATAAGTGCCATGAAATAAAGTCGAATGGAATACAGATTTCCAACCACTGGCTCAAACCCTGTCGCTACAGCGTCACATACAGTGAGACAATTGAAACACGGAAACACGACGATAAAGAAAGATCCACGAACATTCATTGCAAGTCTTCATACCTTAATCGTACTATATTGACCCTCTCAGGTGTATTTCTAAACTCCAGACCAGTTTCTTCAAATAGCTCCCGCGTAACCCCCGTCACCACCGCTTCCGTCAGCGTTTTTGTGCCTTGTGGTCCCCAGTCCCTGCGGTCCACATTGCCACCAGGTATTTGAAAGTGAGTTCCCTGGTATGTGTTTATGTATAGATGTTTCTGTGAGTACTTGTGAAAGTTTGTGTAGGTGCAATAATGCGTATACGTGCATCTGTATAATATTTTGACTGCTTGCGATACACCCTAGACCTGAGCATGTTGGAAAATCTACATAAAATAAAGCTTTTCTGAGAGTCACCTTGCGGATGATTGTGCAATTGTCACGCATTGAGTACCAAGGTTTGTAATTTTAATAAATTCTACACGATTGCTATTCTTCAGTTTGTTTGTTGGAGGGACTCAAAGAACTACTGAGCAAATAGAGGTCAGGACAACGATTCGGCATGTGCAGCAATCAAATCCCTATTCAGCCTGTAGCTTCATTTATATTGGCTGTGTTCTCATTAATTCATAAGCAATAAAGTTCACCAGTGACCATATCTCTAACAAACAAAACTCACATCTCGAGAAAGACGTAAATATGACCAAAACTGTAACAATAAACTCACCTTCCGTTTTTTGAAAGCCCGCAGTACAAGTAGACCTAGCCTTGGGTGGAATACATAGGCGAACCCACGTGCATCCCTGTATATTCGTTCGTCCATTTTCGAAAGCTAATTATAAAGTAGTCGCATGCTAGAATATATTAGTATAAGGTAAGTGTGTGTTTGACCATCTCAACGTATATACTACTTTCAAAGAAACGCGTGCACATGATCGACGTGGCGCATAAATAGAGCAAAACGCACAGTTGTGCGCAGAAAATTCAGTATAGCGATAAGTCGTAAAATGCGGAAGCTAATCGATTAGCTATTTCTTAAAACCTGTGCAAGGGAGCGAAAGCAAATACAAACTCAGATTCTATTAAAATTGCGTCATAGACTGATCAATGAGAAAATGTTCCCCTTAGATTTGCAGCCGCAAAAATGATTCTCCTAGCAAGGATACCTATTGCTTTGACAGAAAAACTGACTCATGCACAATTGATCTGCAATGCAGTTTTGGACTATATACACCACTACGTGACTACGAAAGCATCGCCAGGTCAACCGTGTTGCAAGTCGCGAAAAAAAAACTGTTGGACACCATGCAATTGGTGACACGTATACATCGCATAATATATTTATATATATATATATATATATATATATATATACTTACTATACATACATATATA